GGACAGAACCAACTGGGCAGTGATTCACTGCCACCAAACCGTGGCAATCAGGCTGCCAGAGCAAACCCCAGAGCCAGGAACCATTTCCTTCTCCCTCTCCCTGGCCCTCGGTTCGGGCAGCGTTCGTGGCATGACTTGTTCTGTCTTGGCAGAATCTCGTGGGAAGTCCCTGCCTTCCACCTTTAACTGTAGCCAGGGGATGGTGAGCTTGGCAAGCTGCTAAGCTGAGGTAAATAATACTGATGCCAGGAAGATTTGAGTCTGTATGTGGCGTTACTGTTTTCCTAAGCTTGCATTTCACCACCTCTCCAGCGCCGTGGCCCTGGCAGGGGAGATGCAAGCTGCCACCAGGAACAATGTAGAAGCTGGGAAACAAGAACAGAGAAGTGGAGGGCTTGTGTGGACCTGTCAGGAGCCAGCAGGGACAGGTTGGCTTCTCTCAGTAACTCCCTGTCAGGCTGTGGGGCAGGCCTGGTGTGAGGACTATTGTATGCTGGTGTGACCTGTGTCCCCTGCAGTTCTGCTTGATTTTAATCCACTTTGAGGACCTAGCAGGAAAACGTGTGAAATCCAACACAGGCTGGGCTACTACTGATGTGTTGATGGGGATGCTGTAAGGAACCAGTAGAAGCTGCAAAGTTAAAAGCAACATGGTGGGGCTGGCTTTCCAGGCTCATCTCTGGCCCTGGTGCATCAGGGATGCTGGGCAAGGAGGTCCTGGAGAGCAGGACTTTCCCCAGAGTGTTCTTTCTGCCTCTTTCCTGGGCTCTTCCTCTTTGGAAGTGTGTGTAACCCCTCTTGTCATCTGAGACACCATATTTCTGTCCTCTGCCAGTCTGACCCAGGGTGGATAGAGGAGCACCTCGTGTCTGCTGCCACAAAGTCAAAGAGAAAACAGCAGAATGGTCTTGACAGAAATGATTCAGTGAAACATTGGGTCAAGAAGGAGGAATAAAATAATGTAGTGAGATGAGTGATGTTCAGGGTCTGTTAAGCCAGAGAGGGGCTGGGCTGTGGGAATGAGCTTTGTCCTGGATTTGCTGCTAAAACCCTGGCCCATTGTCTTCCAGGTTGGCAGGTGGCTGCTGCAGCTTCTGCTGGGACATATCTGGTAAGGCCACCTCATGAGTTTAAACTGATTCACCCATGTCTTCAGCTACAAATCATGTGTGGGTTGGGGGTCAGTGTGGGCCCCTTCCTGACAGCAGCACCTTGGTGGGAATCAATTGCTACAAGCCAGTGTTGAGTGTGGAGGTGGATGTAGGTGCCCTTCCCCTTCCTGCCTCCCAGGCAGTGGCTGGAGTGGGGATGTCTTCTCCAGGTCTCTGCAGGGCTTTGGTGGGAGCACAGCACCAGACAGGTCAACGAAGGTGGCACCCATTGAGCATGCTCAGATCCTCAGGAGAACAGTCCCCCCCATGCCTGAGGGATGGGAGCACTCACATGACCCTGAACTTCCCAAGTGTTTGAAGTACAGAGCCAGCAGTGGTAGGAATTTGGGAGACCTTCTTGTGGCCTTTCAGTAGTTAAAGGGGGCCTGCAAAAAAAGATGGGGACAGACTTTTTAGCAGGGTCTGTTGGGACAGGACAACAGGTGATGGGTTTAAACTAAAAGAGGGAGATTGAGACTAGAGAGAAGGAAGAAATTTTGGACCCTGAGAGTGTTGAGCCCCTGGCCCAGGCTGCCCAGAGAGGTGGTCACTGCCCCATCCCTGGCACCATCCCAGGGGAGGTTGGAGGTGTCTCTGAGCACCCTGCTCTAGCTGCAGATGTCCCTGTCCCTGCAGGGGGGTTGGATGAGATGACCTTGAAAGGTCCCTTCCCACCCAAACCACCCCCTGATCCTATGAATTTTGCAGATGGCAATTTCCCACCTAGCATGGCAAGATGGGAGCTCTGAATCTGGCCACTTCCATGTTTTCAGGCCAGATCCAGGCACAAACAGTTGCAGCCAACGTGCTTGTCTGCATGCAATGACCACAAACCATTGTTGTAACTGCATAATAAGATCACCTCTTTTCTCTCTCTCCTGGTGCAGTGCTCCAGCTCCCCTGTCAATGGTGAGTTTTTGACCAAGTCATCTCCATAAGGAAGATTCTTTATACCTGTTCCCTTTACAGTTCCTTTATCTTTGTCTCTCTTTCTTTTTGGGGGAATCAGAATCCGCCGTGTGTGCTTCAGTGGAAAGGTAAGTGAGCCATCAGCACATTGCCTGGGCTGCACTTTCCTTGGGAGTGAGCCTGCTTTGTAGCTGGAAGCCTCTGGAACCAGCTGTAGCATCTTTCCCTCCACAAAGTCCCAGGGTTGCCTGTGGGCAGGGAGGGCTCTGGTTGTGCTCCTTGAAAGAGTGAAGGGAAAACACCTTCCTGGGGCTCTGTGTCTTGTGCAGGACAAAGAAATGCAGGGCAGGTCCCTGGTGTGTCAGCAGCCTGACAGGGGGGCACTTACTGCTCCAAGAACCTTGGCATTGGTGCTGAGCTTGGCTTGGTCTGCTCCAAGCCTTCATTGAACTTGGTTTCTACCTAAGGGTCAACCACGTCCGAGCACCTTCTCCCTGCTCCCAAAGGGCACCAGCAGATAATTCTCCTGTCTTTGTGTGTTTGTTGTTCTGTGCTTCTTCTGTGGGCTGTGCCCCGTGCTTGTGGCTGGCTGGCATTGCTCCTGCTCCTCCATGGATGGGCTGGAACCTTCCCACAAAAAACCAAACCTCAATGAGCACAAGGGGGTCAGGGGCATTCTGAAGCCCTTCAGTGCCTGCTGGGGCTCAGGGCTGGGCAGCTGGGCTCTTCTTCCCCTTCTGCTGCAGGTCTGGGGCAGCTGGCACACAGGTCTTTGCTTTTTCCCCCACCAGGGTCAGCCAGGAGATGCTTCAGGAGGTGGCCCGTGGTGAAGCCTCCCCCTGCAGCCTCACTTTTGGCCAATATGCCTGTGCACAGGTAACAGCAGTTCCCCTCTTCCCACGGGCTGCTGTGGTTTATAGAATCACAGATGGGTTTGGGTGGGAAGGGACCTTGCAAGGCCCTGTTTACAGCATCAGTTGCACTTTCTTCTGACTCTTCTATCACCAGGTTTGGTCTCCTGGCAGTGCTGAAGGCTCACGTGTAGGTGAGCTGGAGAAGCAGCCCTGAAGCAGTTTCCACACTGCAGGAGCTACATATGACACACCTTTTATTGCCTCTACATGGATTTCCCTTTTCTTTTTCAGAGTGCTTGGCTCCAGGACCTTCAGGATGATTTCCTCATATCCTTATACTCTTGCCTTAGCCCTAAACCTGCCAGTGCTATGGATCCAGAATACTCCATTCTGTTCTTTTCCAAATATGATGCCAAGAAGCTTCTAGCTGCTCTGACTCTGTTCAGCCAACGGGTGGGTACCACACATCCAACTGTCCACCTGTCTCATTACTGCCAGTGGAAGGCTTTAATTACCATTACCTTACTTTTTTTACCTCCAAATTACCATGTTTTACAAAGGGCACCATTTCAATCAGCTCTCCACCAACACAGCAGAGTTCTGTGCTGTTAAAAATAGCTGGGGGGACAGAACCAACAACCACGAGCTCACGTGGCTGTTGCTAGTTGTAGTAACAACACAGATCTGGGGTTCCAGTGTGAATTACAGGCTGCCTGGATGTGATTTGCAAAGTATTGCTGTGATGGAAGAGTCTCTGTCCAGAGAGGGGATTATTGCTGGGGGTGATCTGTCCCTCATGGTCAGATTTACATGGATTGATGTTTGTGTTTGTTTAGCATGCCCATATTCACTTGGATTCATGTGTTTCTTCTCCTCTCTTGCCTTCAGTTTTCTCACGTGCCTCTTTCTTTTGAGTGGAGCATGATCTTCATGAATGGCCTGTGGGAGAAGATGTTGCAAGTCCCTGATATCGACAGCCCCCCTGTTTTGTCTCAGTGGGTCCATGGGGGGCTTCAGCCATTCCTGGTCAAGCCCAAGGTCTTTGCTTGCCTCCATGCCAAAAACGTGTTGTGTGAGGCATTTCAGATGATGTAAGTGCTGAACACAAACATTGTTTGGGTGGCTGAGGTAGGAAAGGGGCCCTTGATCCAGTCTCCCAAAGCAAGGGGCTAAACCCTGCTGGAGACCTAGGTGGGTTTTCTGAGCATCTCTCTTCCAAAGCAAGGCTTTGGAACAGGCCTGCTGGCCCTCTGACTGGCCTTCTGGACTGGGGGGGCTGTTGTGGAGGGAGGTCAGGCTGGTGGCTCTGAAAAGGGGTGTGATTGGTAATATCAATCTTCAAGTAACAGCCGCTTCTGTGGGAATCCAACCCTGCCAGGCTGGACTTCATCTGTGTCTGAGGTGTCTCCCTTTCTTGTCCATCTGTAGAGTTGCTGCCCTGAATGGAATATACTCTGATCTGCCAGTGGAAGAGCAGAGGAATCTTTACACTGGGATCAAATACTATCTCCTCCAGGAGGGTAAATAACCTGATTCTCTTTAAGAAACAGCAGAATGCTTTAAGCTACTGATGCATGATACAACGTGAGCTGCCATCAGATACAGGGCTGAGGCTTCACGGGGTTTTTTGGTGAATTTCTATTGTCTCTTCAATGGAAACAGCCTGGGAACATGACAGTGATAAGTGGTGTCAAGCATCATCAAACATTTCCCTGCCTGAAGGCTTTATTCATCCAGGATTGACATAAATCAGCACAGGCAGTCCTATGCTGACTTGCATCCTACACAAACAGCATTTACTGCTTTCCTTGTGAAAGAACAGAGCAGGGTTGGGTTCTGAGGGCTAAAGAATTCAGCACAGGAGTTAGCTCAGAAAGGGGACCCTGGGAAGACACTCCCCTGTGCAAAAATTTCATGTCCTGCAGCCATTTTTAGCAGATTTGAAGGCAGGAAGAAAGATCCTGGTGATGAAGTATCTGGGGGGCTGCCTCTTTTGCAGGATCAAACCAGAAATGCTACAGTGCAGCCATTCCAGGTCTGAATTCCACTGCTTGGTTTAAAAATTATCTTGGATCCTTTTTGGAGCATGCTACTGTTGGAGACCTGCAGCTCTTCAGTGATGAACCAACGGTAAGTGCAGGCTCATTATGGTGATGAGGAACCTGCAAGTGTGGAAAATAGTCTGTGCCTGAGAGGTTGTCTTTGTGCCCTGACCAAAATTTGTGGTTTAGGGGGTGACTGCCCCAGACCCACGTGTCAGGAGTGCTGTAGGGATAGGGTTGTGTCCCTTAGCAGCTCTCCCACCTTTGTCCCTTACAGCAGTCTGAGGCTTACACACCCTCAAGAGTGCAGAGAGAATAAAGCAAGTGTATTATTTGAAAACAAAAAAAATAACACAAAGTTCCTCACAACTTTAAAGCCAGCTGAAAAAAAAACCCTTCTGGCTTGAAGTGAGGCTGGTTCAAACTGTCCCAAGTGACTGTCAGGACTAAAGTATCCATATAAATTACTTTTGGTTTGTTTTCCCAGGCTGACAGTATCCATTTAAATTATTTTTTGGTTTGTTTTTTCCCATGTCAACACCCTCAGCTTCAAAAATTTGCCAGGGATCCAGTCAACCTGCAGATGATCAGCAACCTCACCTTGCTCTGGCAGACGGCTGTGTACTACACCTCACTGCTGACCTCTGCACCTGCCTTCCCCTTAGCCAGGTATGGGACCTGACCTGCCTTCCTACCTGGCTTGTGGCTTAGCAAAAGGTCCCTGGGTGGTGGTTCTGGTGGCTGCTTCCATCAAACCTTGAAAGCCATTTCTGTTCCTCAAGAAATGGTGTTGTGCTTGATCCTGGGGGGGGTCAGGCCACAAGTTCCAAGTCTTGGGAATGATTCCTGTGCAGTGCCAGCCACCAGTTGATGACCAACAAGTCATCTTGCATGTTTTTGTGGTTTTGCATGACAGAGCAGTGCTCTCTGTAAACAGGACCATCAGAGTTCTCTTCAGGAATCAGGGGAAACAGGCACTAGAAAAGAGCATCCAAACAGGGGCCATGGGGCAGAGCCAGTGTCTGTCCTACTGGCAACCTCCTTGTCTCCCATCTGCAGCCTCCCAGACAGATTCCTTTGCTACCTGAGCCCCTCAGCAGTGAGCAACCTGAGCAGAGATGATGCTTTGAGCTTGGCCCAGAGGATCAGTAAGAACTGCCCCTTGAACCTGACACGTGGAGGAACAGCTAGAGAGAGAGCTCCCTCCTCCCTGACAACAGAGGAGCTGCAGGTACCCATGGAGTCACAGAGGGGTTTAGTTTGGAAAAGACCTTTAAGATCCTCAAGTGCAACCATTAACCTGACTCTACCAAGTCCACTGCTAAACCATGTCCCTCACACCACATCTCCACAGCTTGGAAACCCCTCCAGGGATGGGGACTCCACCACTGCCCTGGGCAGCCTGGTCCTCTGCTTAACAACCCTTTCATGGAAGAATTTTTTCCTAATATCCAACCTCAACCTCCCCTGGGACAACTTGAGGCCGTTTCCTCTTGTCCTGTCCCTTGTCCCTTGGGAGCAGAGCCCGACCCCCCCTGGCTCCAGGCTCCTGTCAGGAGCTGTGCAGAGCCAGAAGGTCTCCCCTGAGCCTCCTTTGCTCCAGGCTCAGCACCCCCAGCTCCCTCAGCTGCTCCTCCCCACACTTGGGCTCTAGACCCTTCCCCAGCTTCGTTGCCCTTCTTTGGACATGCTTCAGTCCCTCAATATCTTTCTTGTAGTGAGGGGCCCCCATCTAATCTCCTGTCCAGCCCTGTGACACAGTTCTTCATCCACCTAGGCAAAATTTGTGAGGCTTGAGGATTCAACTCTCCTGCCTCCTCCCATGTACACTTCCATAGGTCATCTTGCCTTTTCTATTGTGGTGTCTGTGTTTCATCACCTGCAAAATCTCAGTGGATGGAGACAGTCCATCTACAGGCTTCATCACACAAGTTAAAACCAGGAAGCCCAGTGATTTAAGATGTCCCAAGGCTGTAGAATCCAACAGACTCACCTCATTGCTCCTCTGACTTTCTTTCCTGTCTCTGTGGGACATTTCAGGTTGCATCCTCTCTGGTGAGGAAGTTTGAGCATTTCCCTCCTGCAGTCCTGCGTGCCCTGGGCCAGGCTGCAGTGGGGCTCTCTGTGTCTGACATTGAAAACAGCATCAGTGAGGAAGACCTTGCAGCATCTCTTCCTGTGCTGGGTGAAGTTCATGGCTGGAACGTTGAGCAGTCCAGTGCTATTATCAACAAACTGCTCAGCTCTGGCTACCAGGTACAAAGGAGAAGGTGTAGAGCTGGTGGAGCTACCTGCCAGTGAGGGAGGTTTGGCCCTTCACCTGCTCATGCCTCTGTGTGTTGCCTTTCAGATCCCTGATGGACAGAGCCTGGCAAGGCTGGGGAGCTTGGTGGCTGGCCTCAACACCAGCAGGCTTCAAAGTCTGTCTCCAGAAGTGATCTTGGAAGCCATCAAGTTGCCCAAGTTTGTTCAGCAAATGGTGAACCTGCCCTCTGCTCTGAAAAGGACCTTTGTGGAAAAGGTGAGGTGTTTTTTCTCTACATGAGCCAAGCTCTGGTGGCTTGGAGCTCAGAGCACTGGCTGCCTGGGGCCAGGCAGTGACACACACACCCCCAGAGCCAGGCCACGTTCCCTTGGGGGTGTTTGTCATGGCTAAACAGTGTGCAGCAGGACAAGCACCTCAAGTCCCTGTCCCTGGGCCTGTGGAGATGTCCTTGGCTGCCAGGCAACGTGTCCTGCTGAGCCTCTTGGGGACAAGGACAGAAAAGAGAGTTGTTTTATGGGATGGCCCTAGAAACTACTCCTCACTGACCTGCAAATTTACTCTCAGAGAAAGGATATTGCCATGGTTTGGAGTGAGACCATGTGAGAAGTGAAGGCAGCTTGGGAAGTCCCTTGTAGGGTAGCCTGATCCTTCAGCAGTTCACCCTTTCACTCCTCCATCTGATTGTGTAGGATTTGGACACCCCTTTGCCTTTTTTTCTCACCATGACTTTAGCCTTCAAGCTGCATCTGTAGCATTCAAGGTCAAAAGACTCTGACCTGTGTTTGGCACCAGGGGCCCTGCCTGTAGTGTGTCCTGGGGCAACAAGCCTTAGGGAAATACCACCTCCTTCACCACAGGATTGTTCTGCAACGTGCCTTTGGCAAGTTGAGACATTGTTTGCCTTGGCAGAGGGGAAAAAATGGTCCCTCCTTTCTGGCTGGTTAAACATTTTTAGGGCATAAAGCCCAGAGGCAGGAAACTGATAAGAGACAGAATCCTTCCCATTCATCAGGACCCCAGGTATGAGCTCCAAGCAGCTCTCCTGGTCTGATGAATGTCAAATGGGAAACATTTCATAGTGTTAGATGTCCAAGAAGTGCCCAGCTGGTGACCAGGGGAATTTGCCTGGCTTCCTTCCCACTGCTTGTTGCTTCTCTAGCAGTTGTTTATTTTAGCCACAGTGTTTGAATGATGTCTTTGTTGTTTGTTTTAAAGATTTCCTCCAGCATAGGCCACCCTGCTGACCTGGTTAAATACATCCCTGATGCTCTGGCCAGCTACGTTCCAAAATCATTGCTTGTTTTTGGGGAAGAGAAGCCCAACATTCAGGATCTCAACAGTAAAACGTGGACCCGAGAGCAGGTAAGATGCTGGTGGCTTTGTCCTTCCTACCCTCAGTGTCAGCCTTGGACCCTGCAGAGCTGTGAGCCCACTCTGCAGCCCTGTCTGAAACCACAGGGGAATGCTGCAGAAGAGCCTCTGAACCAGTGACACTCTGGCTTTCCTTCACAGGCTGCCATGTTTTTCAGTGATGTGATAAAGACAGAGCCTGACTTCAGCAGGTAGCAGTTTTTTTCCTTCTCTTCTTCCATCTTCCATGTTTGTGTTTGCTTTGCTTGCAGTTTCTGGGCTTCCTTTGGTGCTGATGACAGGCCCACAACATTCAATCCATAGCAACAAGTGGATTGAGATGAGAACTCAAACATGTAGCATCAGATTTACCAGGGTGCCAGCTGCAGAATACACCTGTAAGCCACACTGGCTTTCTGAGAGGCTGCTGCTGGCTCAGAATGCCCCTGAAACCTTGCTTCTGATTGCCCCTGTGGAAGGCATTTCTCATCAGAAAACACATCAGTCTTCCCCAGTGCTGTTCCAGAGGTTAAATTTAGCTCTGGAGCTGACATCAGTGCCCTGCTGATTTCACAACAGCAGCTTTTCCACACAGGATACAGGAAACAATTCAAGGACTTCTCCCTGAGCTCTCATGGGCTGTGCCCAGTGATGGGGATCTGCACAACCCCAGTTCCCTTTGAAGGTGTGGCAGGTACTGAGAGCACAGGGAGGAGGCTGAATTCAGAGTAACTCCTGTGCTTCAGAGCACAGCAGTGCTGCTTGGGGTGGGGAGTTTGTCCCTGCATTTCCACCCCCACTACAGGTCTCTAAGTGATGTTTCTTTAACCAGGGATGGCTTCTTCATCTCCCACACAGGTCAAGACTAGAAGTTTTGAGGGGATGGAGTTTGGAGAGCTTTGAGCCTTGAGGATGGGGGAGGTTTAAGCTAGCTGGTTTGTCATGATATATGTTGAGAGCTCAGCATTGAATTTTCTCCTGGAGTCCCTGCCCTTCTGATTTACCTTCTGTACATGTTCAGACTTTCCCAGTCAGTCCTCCAAGGCTTCACATGTGCAGCTGCCAACGAGATGGCAGCAGAAAGATTTCAAGAGCTGGCCAAAGTCATGAAGAAGAAGAATGTCAAGCTAGGAGAAGACCAGGTCAGTTCCTGTATTTCAAAATGCTGTGTTTGAGGTTGTCACAAAGACAGCACTGAGGATTCTTCAGCCAGAACAAAACCACTTCCACCTTCAGGGATTGGACAAGTGTAACTGCTCCTGGGTTTCTATCCTGCAGCTCTGAATTTCCATGAAGAGAGGAGAAGTCAAAACCCAGCTGGCAGGTTTCTCAGGAACCAAAACCTCTGATAGCTTTCTCTTTTTTCCTTCCCCCTTTGGAGCAGAGTAAACTCTTTACATTGGTTTTATTTGTTCTAATATTTTCATGCTGGTTTCTTTTTTTTTGATGTAACCTGTGGTGTCCTTTCAGCTGAGCTGCTTGGTGAAGCTGGTGACTCTGCACGGGGTTCCCAAGGATTTAGATAGTTATCCTACAGACCTGTTGCTGTTTTTAAGGTAACTGTGCTATGGTTTTCAGGCTGTGGCCTTAGTACTTAGTGGGAAAAGAGGTTTTAGTTTATAACCTAACTGCTAACAACTAGTTCATGTTCAAAGCATGTTTCAAACTTGTTCAGGCCTCCTTACAGAGGAAAAAAAGATTAAATTTTAGAAAGCTTTCAAAAGGATCTTAAGGCCCTTTCAGATTCCACAATCTATTATGTTAATATCAACAATATGAATCTGCTTTTAAGTATATCTGTTCAGATATGAAACCACTATGTGGTTTTAGTGTTTTCTGACCTCTGTGAATGTGCTTTTCCCTTACAACACAAAAGAAAGCAGCCAGTAGAGTGGATTTCTTTGTCCCAGTAGCCACCCACTGTGTTCTGTAGCCAGATCTTGAACAATTTTAAGCTGAGTTTCACAACAGATTCCTTAAGATGAACATGAACTTCTAAAAAAAGTGGATCTTTGGGAAGAACAACTGCAGAGAGTTCACTCTGTGGATGTGGAACCTGTTGTACTGGACACAAGATATGTTGAACAGCCTTGAACTTGACCAACTGTCTGATATTGTTCACTAGAATTCACAAAGTATTTGTCTTTAGTCCTTCAGACTATGCAGCCACAGGAAGCTGTGTGCAGTACTTTGCTAATATTGGGAAGGCAAATCTTGATGTTCTGCAGAGAGAGTCACCTCAGAGGAAGCAGCTGCTCTTGGAGGCCTTGGCATGTTTGGTAGGTGGTGAGGGAGCAGCTCTGCACGAGGCTGGGGAGAACTTCAGGCTCAAGAATGCTCTTCTGCAGAGCCACCCACTTCTATTTAATGCCTCTGTCCTGTGTGATTTCAGAAAATCCCTGGCACAGAAGTGAGTGAGGAAAACACAGAGATTCTGGGACGTCTGGTCTGTGACCTGGGTGGAGAATACATCAGAAGCTCTGGTGGTCATTTGCTGAAGCAGCTGAGCCAGTGTGAATCTTTCCTGCCTGATCAAGAAGAGGCCATTAGGAGTGTTATCAGCAGTGGTAACACTACATTTGGGTATGGATTTGTCTTCTCTTTTCTGCTTTTTCTTCAACAACACATCTCCCTTAAACAAAACCAGTGTCCTACTAAGATGTGAGTGAACTCCAACCAACCACCTCGATCAAAAACTTGAATAATTCATTGCATTTGAATTTCAGAGTGGATTTTTTTACATAGTTTTTTTAAAAACTCTACTGAAAAATACATTGTCACTTCTGTGCCTCACCTGCTGTAGTTACAAAAGCCTTTCCTCTGGTCTGTTTTTCATTAACCCAACTTCTCTGAGGTTGTCCTGATGAGGACATGTGGGCTAGAGCTGTTGTCAGTCACTGACTTTCAGAACACATTCTCTTTCTGCCTGTCAAGCTGACAGATGGTTGATAAATCCCTGGCTGTATCTAACAGAAACATTTTCCAGAGAGGCAAAATATTTTCCCTTCCTGTGTCAAATGCCCTGAGATGTTGGCACTGAACTGGGGGATGAGAGTGAGCAACAGGTATTCTTTGGATTTCATGCTTAAGAAAACAATCTATTCCTTAAATGCCACTTTCCCCTCCAGCTGCCCTTGTTTATGTTGCCAACAACTGCTCCTGCTCTGCTGGAATGAAGTTTTGTGTAGCAGGAAGTGATGGAGAAGTTTCAGGATTTCAATCTTGTATTTTCTTAACCTCAGATGTTACAAGGACATAAACCTGGCAGCTTTTAAGGCTTTTTTGTTGTTGTTATTGTTCCCTGAAAGCTGATCCCTGCTAATTTTTGTCTGCAGGCCTCCTGAAAGGTGGTCAGCTTTTACCTTGAATGAGCTCAGTGGTTTGATTCCTGTCCTTGATCACAGCATCTTGCAGAAGATCCCCAAGGTGGGTTATTCCCAGAGGTGTGGGGAGTTTGGGGAGCACTCCTAGGGGCTGCAGGGTGGAAGGAGTATGACAGGGGTTGTTCAGCTGGTGTGTTTTCAGTAGTGCCTTCATGTAAAAGTGTGGTGCCAAATGGGATGGATGGCCTGTGAGCAGTGAGGGTTGATCAAGCTGACAGCCCAGGACTGCAGATCTACATCCTCCTCTTCCTGGAACTGGTGCCAGGGGTGGAAAGCAGTAGTAGCTGTATACAATGCTTTGTGAGGAGGTGGAATGATTTGTGGGGTGTGGGATAGGATGGAGTTCAAGCATTTAGAAGGTTGGCTCCCCAAGAGGGGGTCCCTAGGCTGCTACAGCAGTTCTGCAGTACTTGAACAAGGAATTCTCCTGTCTGTGTGAGCAGCAGTTTGTTGTGCTGGTGGTGTGCCCACCGTGACTGCAATATCCCCCTGATGAAACATCTTCTTTGCAGGATGCTTTAACTCTTTGGCTGAAAGACTTTGCACGTGACTCTCCTCTGTCGAGGGACGAGCTGGCCACCGTGGCCAAGGAGCTCCTGCCTAGGAGGCAGAAACGTGCCACAGGTATGAGACCTGTCTCTGACCCCTGGTGGCAGCATTCCCCCTGCTGTCAGGGCTGTCCCTAGGGCCTGTGGATCTCCCTGGGTATGCCAGAGTTGAGATCTCAATGCTGGGTGGTAGATCCCCTGGGAGGAGGAGGGTGGAACCGTGGGTGCATACCTGTCCATCTCCAGCAAGGGAGCACTCAAAGCTTGGAGCACAAGGATTTAGCATTGGAATTGCTTCAACAGATTGCCCACCTGACCAGAAGATAACGGAGGCAGTTCTTAATAACAACTTGATGCCTATTTTCTACCCCCCTGACCTGCTCCGTGCGTGCCTGAAGAACGTCTCTCTGGAGAACCACCTCTCTCAGGTTGTGACCTATGCCTTCAGTGTGGAGCAATTAGCTGTGCTGAAGGACTATCTGGATGAGGTAAGAAGAATGTCCAATTATCTCCTGGTGAGATTGCTCAGAGACTTGTCTAGCTGGGTTTAAGCATCTCCAAAGACTGAGACGCTCCCATCTTTCTGGGCTCCTCTTCCAATGTTTGACCCCCTTTACTGTGAATATATTTCTTAATATCTAGTCAGACTTTGCATTGCCTGTTGGCACTTAGCCTTTCACTGTGCACCTCTGAGAAGAAGGTGGCTCCATCCTCCCTATAATCTCCCTTTAGCCAGTTGAAGACAGTAATAACATCCTCACCCAGTCTTCTTCAGACTAAAAAAAACCCCAACTCCCCCAGTCCTGCTGCCCCAGCTTGTACCTTGTGTGCTTCTGCCCCCCAACCAGCACAGCCCTCTGCTGGGGACTAGCAAGTGCCAGCCAGATGGAGAGGGGCAATGATTTCCCTTGACCTGCTGGCTCTGCTGCTGCTGCTGGGGAAGCTGGTGCCTGAGCAGCCTTCACCACTGCAAGGCCCTCTGCCCACTCACATCCCTGCTGAGGCAGCTCACGATGCTGCAGGTTGTGGTCCTTCCCTTGGGGCCTGCTTCCCTGAGCTATCCAGCCAAAAAAAGGGACAGATGTGCTCATGGAACCTTCACTGCCTTTGATTTCTTATTCCTTGCAGACCTTCTGGGCTTTTCCACTTTTATTTTGCAAAGAGCATCATTTCCTAAGCACAGGCCTGCTCAGGAGTGTGCAGAGCAATAACCATGGTCTCCCCACAGACATATCCTGATGGGTATCCAGAAAGTCTGCTCCCCAGCCTGGGGCCCCTGACTGCTCTCTTCACCCCTGAGGACATTTCCAAGTGGAAGATAACTTCAGCTGACACGCTGGCCCGCTTGCTAGGAAACAACCCCCCTTATGCTCAGGTAAGGATTTGGGTTTGCTTCCTGGTTTTTTGGGGCTGCTTTAGTGGCTTCAAAGATGATTGGCCCATCCTTGAGGTCCAAACAGAGAGATTTGAAGTGATTCGATTTTATTGCTGGGATTATTGCATGTTTTTTTCTTTTGAGGATGAAAGCACAAATTCTGATTGGAGTTAATTTGCCAATTAATGATGTTTCCAGGCTTCTGCCATCATCAGGCGTTACATTGGCTTGGGAAATCCTCTCAACACCACTGCACTGAATGCCATTGGCCCCAGCTACATGTGCCTCCTAAATGAGACTGAGCTGAACAGGATAGACCCCAGCAGCCTGAAGTGAGTCAGACCTTGTGCTGCTCTTGGCTTCTCACCAAAGCACTTCCCCATCTGCAAGTGCATCCTCCTTTCCTCTCCACTCAGTGAAAGGGACTCTAGGAAGGTCCCTGCTCTGAGCCCAGGTTTAGGAGCCTGCAGTTCTCTGGCCCACCCTTATTGCAGCTCAGCTGATGACAGATGCAGTCTGTGTGCTTCTACCAGAGGCAAAAGGGAGTTAATGAAGTTTAAATTAAATTCCTTTGCAAGACTGCTGAATGAAATTCATTAGCTACCTCTTTGCAAACACATACACTGCCCAGGCACTAGCAGAGCCATGATAACTTAGAAGATATCTCATTGTGGGCAGGAGACTGAGCCACTTTCTTTCTCCTAGCTTCTCTCCTATTAGGAAGAGGGGTTGTGCTATGTAGAGAATCCCAGAGAGACACTCAGAATAGTTCAAAATTTAATCAGCTTGGAGATAATAAATAATTTTCTCTCTCTAAATGTTCTTTTTTTTTTCCCCAGACTGGCATCCCTGAACATTTCAAACTGTTCACAGACAACAAAAAACATCTTGTATGCTAAAGCCAAACAGGCTTTCTCCAGCCAGCCTTTTCCTGCTTACTATGAGCTTATTGCACCATACCTGGGTATGTAAAAGAACATCATGTTGTGGGGAAAAAGAGAGAACTTAGCCAGAAGCTGAATGGGTGCCAAATACCATCTTAGATTTGGGAATTTTCAAAGCCAAGTTGTTAAAAGTTTCAGCCTTTTCCAACTCATAGTGGCATAAAATATTCTTGGAAGATTCCATACCTGATTTGAAGTTGCCCAAATCAATTATCAGACAGGGAGAAGTAAATTCCTGACTTCTGGGATGAGCAAGATCTGCTAGATCCATGAGAAATCCAGCTACTGATGCTCAACACTTCTCTACCAGCCCTTCTCTATGTCACAAGACAAAGTTTTTTCCCTGCTAAGCCAAGAATCTCTTCACAGTCTGAGCAAATTCTTCTTACCCCTCTGGCTGGTGTTGTCACAGTCTGGTTTAGTGGCCAGCACAGGGAAGCACCTCCCAGCAAGATGAAGAAGTTCAGTTGGGACTCAATCTGTTAGCAGCCCCAGCCTCATAAATTTTGGAGACATCATTATAGCTCTAACTTATCTAGATATACCATGGTGCCTGTTTGAGGGTTGTCCTCCATGCCTTGATACACTTTCTCTTCTTCATCCCAGAGGGTGCTCCTGGTCAGGATCTCAAAGCTCTAAGTGAGCACAAGGTGAACATGAACATCAGTACTTTTGTGAAGCTAAGAAAGGATGCTTTGATGGTGAGTTGAATCTCAACGTGGTTTGACTCTGGCATTCATAGTGTGCTGGGGAACTGCCTTTGGTTGTGTTGTCTGTTGGTGTCAATCAGGAGTCACTCCATCATGTTGAGAATGATGCTAGACCAGTAGAAAGTGGGGAACTGGCCTGAAGCTTCTTTAGAAATGGAATTTGGAGTCATAGCTGGCTGCTCAGCCAGTCTTGCTGGGGAGTTCCTTTAGAGCAGGCTTGCATAGGAGCAGGGGACAGGCATCCACTAGACTACAGCCCACAGCTATGTCACAGACCTTCTAACAGAAGGGTTAGCAGTGATACCATCAGTTCCTGAAGAAAGCCCAGGGATTTGGGCAGGGACTGCAGCCCCAACTTGGGCGTGGGAGATTGTCATCAGAGGACAGCAGAAAAGGTCTTTGAGGAACCATTGTGTTCACTCTCCTGACCTAAGGGAAGAGTGTCCCGATTGAAACCAGTCACCAGATGTTTGTCAACTTTGCTCTTCACCTTTCTGCTCATTGAAACCTCCCTGGTTCCTTGGCCAGGGGTGTTATTTCCCTCTGTAATTGTTGCTCTTGGATTTCTCCTAGAGCCTGACGCCCTCTGAGGTTCAGGGCTTGCTGGGGGTGTATCTCCCTGATCTGAAGCAATGGCAGAACAAGCCTCCCATCTGGGAGTGGGTCCAGAGGCAGCAACAATCAGAGCTGGATAAACTGCATATTGGGCTCACTGGAGGAACCCAAGAAGGCTACATCAACATCGTCACGCCCAAATTTCAGTGTATGTATTGTCTGAGGACCTCTGATTGTTCTGCTTTCAGCTTCCAGTATCTTGGGGGGGCTACAAGAAAGCTGGGGAGGGACTTTTTAGGATCTCAAGTAACAACAGGACTGGGGGGAATGGGGCAGAGCTGGCAGTGGGCAGATTCAGGCTGGATGTGAGGAAGAAGTTCTTCCCCAGGAGAGTGGTGAGACCCTGGCATGGGTTGCCCAGGGAGGTGGTTGAGGCCCCATCCCTGGGGGTCTTTAAGGCCAGGCTGGAGGAGGCTCTGGGCAGCCTGATCTAGTGGGAGGTGGCCCTGCTCATGGCAGAGGGGTTGGAACTGGGGGATCCTTGTGGTCCCTTCCAACCCTGACAGATTCTGATCTGTTTTAGCAGAGGACTTTAGAGCCCTAATGGCTCAATGGTTGGACTTGATGATCTTGGAGGTCCCTTCCAACCTAAAGGATTCTATGATTCTATGATTTTTTTGGGGGTTACAGCAGGGAATAAAACTGCCCTATGGAAGCCAAGTGCTTTCAGCTGGCTGTAGGAGAGGAGTGCAGCAAGCTCAAGCAAGTGGTGGCCTTGGGCAGTGCTGCCAAACTACCCTGCTCCTGCTCTCAGCAGTGCTTGTGCCACAACCCTGGGCAGTCCTGCTGGCTGCTCCTGTGCCAAGGGAGAGGAGGCTGCTGGTCTGGGCTACTGCAGACCCCCTCCAGTTCTGCCAAGGAGCCTTAAGCCTTCCAGAGCAGATTCTGGGTCTGATGTGAGAGGTTCCCACTGCCCCGTGTCCCTCACACCACATCTCCACAGCTTGGAAACCCCTCCAGGGGGGGGGACTCCACCACTGCCCTGATCTACCACTTGACAACCCTTTTGGTGAAGAACTTTTTCCTCAAGTCCAACCTAAACTTTCCCTGGCATAACTTGAAGCTGTTTCCTCCTGTCTTTCTGCTTGAGCCAGCAGTGTGCACTTGCAGCCCAGAAAGCCAACCAGATCCTGGGCTGCATCAAGAGTTGAGAGCAAAGAGGCCTCATCTCACCCCTTTCTCCTCTGCTGTGTGTTGGGTTGGGCTAGAGCTTGGTGGAACTACCAGGGGTGGCTATTTGGCCATGGTTAGAAAGCAAAAGATCTTCCTTGGATGTGGCATAAAGAGGAGTTCACCCCTCAATGGTTCAGTCGTTGATTTCTTTGCACTGATGTCCTCTCTTTTCCCTCTAGCACCATCCTCAGCCTCTCTGCACCCCGTGGCCATGACACTCCACCTCCTGCCTGCTCTGCTTCTCAGCTTCCTGATGATGTCAGTCTTGTCTTGAAGATCTCACCTCAAGAGAATGCCACATGAGGGGGCCCAGCCTGTGACCTGCCCTGAGGCCTGTTGGGGACAGCCACACCCAGGGGGGGGTGAGGGGGTGCTCAGTGCTAGCAGGTCACTGTGACACAGCCCAGGATTCATTTTTAGGTCCTTTGGTCCTTCCAATCCCTCCCAAACACACCAGTGTTCTGCCAGAAGGGAAGATTTCAGACCCTTCAGAGCAAGATCTTTGCCTTCTGTACAGTCAAAGCCTGGGTGAGCCTCAGCCCAATTGCTGCCACACAATGTCAATATTGCCCCTCACAACCCTGGTGGGTTTTAGGGGGAGCAGATGGGCTGTTCCAGGGGTTCCTCCAAGAGCCTGGCCTCTAGACACTGCCAACACCTCCGAGCAGGAGGGAGGGTTTCCAGAGGCTTGTAAATAAATAATGGAACTGAGTAAAAACAAAATGCCAGAAGCAAATGGAGGAGCTGCTGTTGTCTTTGTCCAGGCTGCCCACACCTCCGTGCCTGCAGCTCTCCAGATTAAGGGCTCGTGTGCCCCAGACAGCCCTGCTGGTTTTCTTTGGTGTTGACCCAATCCTGAAGAGCTCAGGCTGTTCTCAGCATCCTCACGGGGAGGGTGTAAGGACTTTGTATATGACTTTCAATGCTTTTTTTCCCCTTTTCATTGGCAATTTCTGTCCAGAAAAAAAAAAGCCTGAGAGAAAGAGCTGGGTCTGTCCTTCCCTGCAGAGTGCTGGTGCCAGGAGACACGTGGCTCCATCCCTGGTGCCAGGGCAGTGAGGCAGTTGGGGTTTTTAACAGCACTCATCCCCTGACAGAAACCTGGGTTGGTTTTTTTCATGCCTTGACTTGCTCTCAAATGACCTGCAAGAATCTCAGCTCGTGGAGAATGAAACTGATAAGTGGAGGTTGAGGGGAGAACCCCTCTGGTGGTAGAGCTGTTGGAGAAGGAGATGCTAAATAATGAGGAAGATCAGAGCAAAAGAAGTGGAAACTGCTTCGATTTAATCCAGCCAGCAAAACACCACAAAGCACAAACCCCAGCAAAGAACAGGTTCAGTTAGGGGGGGAAAAAAAGACTTGATTGAAGCTTTATTCACAACAGTCATCAAGATAAATCCTCTTCTGTGAGTCACCCCTCTAACCAGACTGTGCAGCAGCTGAACAAACCCTGACCAAAAACCTCCCCAGCTCCTGGAATGAGCCACGTGGAGTCGAGTGGATCTCCTGAGCTGTGTCCTGGGGCCACCTTCTGCTTCTCAGGCAGCAGCCACTGACTCCAGTCCCTGAGTTGTCCCAGTGCTCCCACAGATCCCAGCAGGACAGGGCAGAGGTAGGAGAGCACTCGGTGGGAGTCAGACCAGTCAGTACTGCTGGGAGGTGCATGACTTGGAGCAAGCAGCTGGCAAGGAGGGCTGGAAAATCTCTGTTCCTTTCACTGCCAGCCTCAGGAATAACCAGCAAATTCCAGGCTGGTGCAGGGGGACAGATTCTGCTCCTCTCCTGGGGTCCTGCTCCCGGCAGGGGATGTCCCAGCAGCGCTGCTGGGTGGGATGGTGAGGGGTGAAGGAGGGAGGAGAGGAGTGTGGGGCTGGAGTCAGAGCAGCACTGGCAGCAGGGAGCTGCCCAGGGCCGTGGCCACCACGTGCAGCAGGCAGGAGCTGAGCCAGGATCCTGACCCTGGTGGGGACACAAGGAGCAGGGTAAGAAAACAGTTCCTGGGAGCTGCCAGGGCACAGAGTCACCCTGGGATTGAGGAAATGCAGAGGGCCACGGGGCAGGACAATGCTCCTCTGACTTCTGTGATGTTGTCCCTGCCCTGGGCAGCCTGGCACAGCCCTGGGCAACACTCAAGGGAAGAAATTGTTCCTCAGGGCTAACCTCAACCTCTCCTGGGGCATCCTGTGGCTGTTCGTGCTTGTCCTGTTGTTCCTTGGGAGCAGAGCCCGACCCCCCCTGGCTCCAGGCTCCTGTCAGGAGCTGTGCAGAGCCAGAAGGTCTCCCCTGAGCCTCCTTTGCTCCAGGCTCAGCACCCCCAGCTCCCTCAGCTGCTCCTCCCCACACTTGGGCTCTAGATCCAGGGGCTGCAATGCCCTGGAGACACGTTGCTTGTTGCCTAGCCAGTCCTTGGGCTTTCCTGTGGGCAGCAGCACACCAGTGCTGTATCTGGCCAGGCTTGAGGTGGATCAGCTGCTGCTCCATGAAGACTTCTGCCCTTCCTGAGCCTTCCCCTGACTCCAAACCTTCACATCTTACCAGCTTCAGGTTGCAGGTTGATGTATCCATTCTGTGTTGGCCGTGGTGACTCTGGCAGGCCTGGGGGTGTTTCTTTAGTGGTCTCACTGCTGGTGGTGGTGGAAGAGGGGCCAAAAAATGCTGGAGAGGTACCAGTCTTGCAAGCCAACGTTGTCGTCTTGGCCGTTGAGGAAACAACGTTCTCTTGGGTGGAGATGGTGGAGCTGGGAATGGGGGTGGACTTGTGGGGAGGGAGGTTCATTTCTGTGGCTGCAGTCAGGGGTTCAGAGGTGGAGTTGGGGACAAAGGTGCCAGGGGAGCTCAGGGTGACAGTGTTGTGGGTGGT